GATTATGGAAGGAAAAAACAACAGTCCGGTGCAATTAGTGGTGATGAAATCACATGGAGACTTTTCAGGAAGAGGAAGGGGGGGCGACCGAGAAAGTAGTTCTGTTTTTTTCATTTTACTGTAGTTTTTCTATGTATCAGGAGTTGTTGCCTAGTTTTGTCTAAGTACTATTCTGCTACTTGTGAGATAACCTTAAAGGATATTATAGATGTTTTTATTTTTGTGTAATTTGTGGTAGTCATTACACATTGTTGCTGTGAATGAATTACATTTTAATAAATATTTCAGTTGCTTTTGTCCTTTAACAAAGTATGTTTTTTCATTATGGTTGCAGTTTTGTTAATGTAGCTGGGTTTATACATATGTATACAATATACATAGTTATACAAATTTATACAAACTTATACTCTCATTTATACATCTGTATACATATAATACCGTTGATTGTTTGTAGTTCTGTTTTGTATTTCTACAATCTATCAATATATTTAGCACCATTAAAAACAGCAAGACACTATTATTGGATAATCAAAACATGTATAATGAAACATCTCAATTGCTTGTGAAACTTAACTACTCAACATTTGTAACTCTATTGTTTGTGAAACTTAACTACTCAACATGACAAAAAATATAATAGGAAGTGTTATGTTTTCAACTATTTATTTTGGTCGATTCCTACATGTTTTTCTACTGTGACCACATTGTCCACACACAGAACATGAAAACGCCCTCTTAGACTCTTTTTCTTAAGCAGGTTTGAGTCTTTCCTTTCTTGGACTTCCTGCATTCCTTCTCCCTTTAGGTGGTAGGACCACATCTTCCAGCACCTCTGTTGGGATTACCCATAAACTCTCATCTGGCATCGGATTCACTGGAAATTCATAAGTTCTAAGGAGTTTATCCTTCTTGTAGTAGAAAGAGCAATACTGGCCAGGTTTCAGCTGCTGGTTCTTCAAAACCGCCCAAGCATGCGGACATGGAAGTTCATCCATTTGAAATTTTCTGCAACTGCATGTTCCCTCTTCAAGGCACACTATGTTTCGCCTTACCCCTTCAAACACAGTATATAACTGCTCCGTAGC